ACAGATCTACCTAAAAAAAACACAGTTAATATCATTCCGAATGAAAGAACAGCGAAAGATTTTGTCTAAAAATACAGAATGTCTCATTTCATCATTCCTATTCCTGTACTCAAAGCTCTAGCCACAACCATAAGCCAAGAAGGAAAATAGACATCATAAATACTGGAAATGAAGAAGTAAAACTCATTATTTACAGTTGACATGACTTTATATGTACAACAATCCTACAGAATTTTAAAAAACACCATAATCAACTTGAGGAAATGCAAACTGAATTCACAAATAAATCAGCTGTTATTTTTATATACTATCAACAAGTAGTTGAAAATGGTATTAAAACAATCCAATAATATAATGAAAAACCATCAACTATTCAGGAATAAATTTAAACAAGAAGTGCAAGATGTTGGTATTATACTAAAAATTACAAAACATTTCTAAAACTAAAGAAGACTTAAAAAAACTGAGAGAGGTAACCATATTCACAATTGCAATTGCAAATTCAACACTGTTAAGACACAGAATCCTCAAGTAATCTACAGCTAAAATAAAATATTCATGAAATTTCCAGCAGACTTTTATTAAAAAAAAAACAAATAGCCTTCTAAAATTTACACAGAAAAATAAAGAAACCAGAATGAGCAAGAAAATTGTGACAAAAGTAAAAGTTAGAGGTCTTAAATTACTGGATTTCAAGTCCTACTAAAATGCACAATAACTAAGACTGCAGTATTGTATAAGGATCGACAGATTGAGGGAAAAAATAAAGATATAGGCACGGACTTCTTCAGACAAATGATTGTTAACCAAGGTCCCAATATTAAATAAATTACCTGAGATTTCATTTAAGGGGATGAGAAGGAATTAGAAGAGAAAAAGTATAGGAAATAAACACTTTAGAAGTAATAAAAATGAAAAGATTAAGAATCTTCTAGGGTTTATAAAATATACCAGGATATCATAAAAAATGAGTTCAAACACACTTGGCACTAACTTCATCCTTAAAACAAAACTAAACAACTTCCTTCAAGGCCTTTCCCAACCCTACTCTCATATGATGACAGAGAGAAAAGACTGGTGGAACGGGGAACTCAACTTCCCCTCCTCCCTCACCCCAGGGGCCTTTCCCTCTCCATCTGGTATCAAAGGTCACCTCCTTGATGCTCCGCCCACCTCCTGTACCAGGTTCCCTAACTGCCTCCAACCTCACAATCAGTTTGCCTTCTAGGACTACCTCCAGGGTGCTTGCAAAATTAGAATTCCAAAGGCAGCAAAGAGTGAATCTCTGGATATCACCCTCCCCTTGGTGGCTGAGGAGACCCCTAAGGGGAGGGCTTTGTGCCTCACTCATCCCTGTACCTCAGGGCCTCAACCCTAATCCTTGTTTGTTGAAGGGAAGGAGGGAGAGACGGAAATACCACCCATCTCACACACCTCAATATCAATGAGAGATAAGAAAGCCTTACTCAGTGATCAATGCAAAGAAATAGAGGAAAGCAATAGAATCGGAAAGACTCAAGATCTCTTCAAGAAAATAAAAGATCTCTTCAAGAGATAAAAGGGAATACTTCCTACAAGTGAAAAAAAAGTGAAGTCACTCATTCATGTCCTACTCTTTGCAACCTCATGGACTATAGCCTACCAGGGATTTTCCAGGCAACAGTACTAGAGTGGGTTGCAATTTCCTTCTCCAAGGGATCTTCCTGACCCAGGGATCAAACCCAGGTCTCCCACAATATAGGCAGACGCTTTACCCTCTGAGCCACCAGGGAAGTTTCATGTGAAGATCAGCACAATAAAGGACAGAAAACGGTATGGACCTAACAGAAGCAGAAGATATTAAGAAGAGATGGCAAGAATACACGGAAGAACTATACAAAAAAATCTTAATGTCCCAGATAACCATGATGGTGTGATCACTCACCTAGAACCAGACATCCTGGAGTCTAAAGTAAACTGGGCCTTAGGAAGCATCACTATGAACAAAGTTAGTAGAGGTGAAGGAATTCCAGTTGAGCTATTTCATATCCTAAAAGATGAAGCTGTTAAAGTGCTGCACTCAATATGCCAGCAAGTTAGGAAAACTCAGCAGTGGCCACGGGACTGGAAAAGGTCAATTTTCAATGCAATCTCAAAGAAGGTAATGCTAAAGAATGTTCAAACTACTGCACAAGTGCACTCCTCTCACATGCTAGCAAAGTAATGCTCAAAATTCTCCAAGCCAGGCTTCAATAGTACATTAACCAAGAACTTCCAGGTTAAAGCTGGATTTAGAAAAGGCACAGACACATCAAATTGTGAACATCCATTGGATCACAGAAAAAGCAAGAGAGTTCCAGAAAAACATCTACTTCTGCTTTACTGATTACGCCAAAACCTTTGACTGTGTGTATCACAACAAACTGGAAAAATTCTTAGAGATGGGACTACCAGACCACCTTACCCGCCTCCTGAGAAATCTGTATGCAGGTCAAGAAGCAACAGTTAGAACCGGACATGGAACAACAGACCGGTTGCAAATTGGGAAAGAGTATGTCAGGGCAGTATATTGTCACCCTGCTTATTTAACCTACATGCAGGGTACATCGTGCAAATACCTGGCCGGGTGAAGCAAAAGCTAGAATCAAGATTGCCAGGAGAAATATCAATAACCTCAGATATTCAGATAACACCACCCTTATGGCAGAAAGTGAAGAGGAACTAAAAAGCCTCTTGATGAAAGTGAAAGAGAAGAGTGAAAAAGCTGACTTGAAACTCAACATTCAGAAAACTAAGATCATGGCATCCGGTCCCATCACTTCATGTCAAATAGACGGGGAAACAATAGAAACAGTGACAGACTTTATTTTCTTCGGCTCCAAAATCACTGCAGACGGTGACTGCAGCCCTGAAATTAAAAGATGCTTGCTCTTTGGAAGAAAAGTTATGAGCAACCTAGACAGCATATTAAAAAGCAGAGACATTACTTTGCCAACAAAAGTCCGTCTAGTCAAAGCTATGGTTTTTCCAGTAGTCATGTATGGATGTGAGAGGTGGACCACAAAGAAAGCTAAGCGACAATAAATTTATACTTTTAAACTGTAGCGTTGGAGTAGACTCTTGAGAGTTCCTTGGACTGCAAGGAGATCAAATCAGTCAATCCTAAAGGAACTCAGTCCTGAATATTCATTGGAAGGACTGATGCTGAAGCTGCAGCGCCAACACTTTGACCACCTGATGCAAAGAACTGACTCATAAGAAAAAACCCTAATGCTGGGAAAGACTGAAAGCAGAAGGAGAAGGGGACAACAGAGGATGAGATGGTTGGATGGCATTTCCAACTCAATGGACATAAGTTTGAGCAAGCTCCAGGAGCTGGTGATAGATAGGGAAGCCTGGCATGCTGCAGTCCTTGGGGTCACAAAGTCAGACATGACTGAGTGACTGCATTGAACTGAACTGAGGACACAACATAAACTGATTAGAACCAAATAGGTCCAAGATTGCGAATGAGTCAAATTCCACTAGACCTTGTGCCTCAGTGTATGCTCATTATAACACATCTGCAAGCTAAATGACACACCTACACGCATCATGATAGTTCCAAGGCCAACCACAAAGGTCAAAAAGTGGGCAGTGGCCCAATTCCTGAAAATCACCACGCCTTTCCAAAAATAGTTGGAATACTCCTCCCACTCAATATTCTATGAAATTTAGTTCAGTCACTCAGTCATGTCTGAGGTATCCCTGTCCCTGTTTCCATCGTGCAAAACATGGAAACATGGACAGATTCTGACTTTGAGGGTTAACTAACCATGTGCTAAGCACAGAGTGGAAACCCAAACTTGGCCTAACTTGTAGTAGCAAAGAAACAGAACCTTTCACAAAATCTTTTCAAAATAATTAACAATAAGTGTGAAAATATGATACTGCTTTTAATGGGGAGATTGCTTCTGGGGATAAATTATTGATAAAGAAATAAGTCAGAAAAAAAATCAGACATTTTTGCAGTAAAAGTCTTCTGAGTCCCAGCTTTTTTATCATTGATAAACTTTTCTCTCATTGGTAAGCTTTGCCCATGGGCTACACTGTCTGCAGTCGGATGTTCAATGCTGCATTTCTGAGTGTAGTTTTTGATTAATGCATTTCATTTCAAAAATAGACAACTGTAAATGAAGAAAGTCCCCACAGTCTGATCACTGAAAAGTAGACAGAATTAAACAACAGAAAAAACATCCTATATGAGCAACAGAACTGAATGAGAAGATGAGAGCTGAGATGACCCAATATCATTCTTTAGAGCCTTAAGTTCGCAGACAAAACAAAAGCTGGATAGAAGGTATTTCTGTGGGATTATTGGTTTTCTTTTCTTTTTTTTTTCTTTTTTATGACATTTTGAGACAGAGAAATCAGGTTTAAAAAGAAAAGCTGCTTATGTAAACAAGAAAGACATTTTCTGAGATGACTTTGATCCCATACTCAAATTATTAACTTAAAGTTACTTGCCTTTAAAGGCCCTGTATCTTTAAGAACTGCTCCCTATCATCCTTGTTAAAGGATATTTTCACCTGATTATTACTAATATTTTCTTTGTAAGTAACCACGCCTGGCTTTATCCAAAAAAAATGGTGCAGTAAATATTTGACCTTAGTGGAAATACAATGCATAATTTAGGCCATCTATGCTATCTTACCATGAGAGGTGATTATTTCTACATTATGAAATGTGCTCATAGTAAAGGGAATCCACACCAGACACCTGGAAGGCAGAGAGAGAACCACTTACCCAGCATGTCGCTGCTTCAGACCAACCTTGACGTGACTGCGGAGCAACTCCTGCACCAGGTATTACTCATGTTAACTTAGCCTCCCAATCAGAACCACACCTTTCTCTCACAAACACAGCCTCTTACGAAGATAACAGGACACACTGCCAGGCTGAAAGGCCCACCCTCAGCCCCTGAAAAAAGGCCTTGAGAAACAGGCACTCTGTTCTTCCCTGTGAGAACTCTGTTGGGACTACTACATTACATGGATGAAATCAAGAAATGTCAGGGGCAGCAAGTCATCCAAATGTCCAATGTCTTTGGAGAAACGATTTAAAATTCTTCCTGTAAGAACAGGATACGAGAAATTATTCATTTCCCCAAAGAGGGCCTTTAAGAGAAACAATTCATGAAGAAATCAAAATTTTTGACATGTATATTTAATATATTACAAATTCATGTGACATAAACAGATGTCAGTAGTAAAAAAAAAAAAGAGAGAGAGAGAGAAAATACAATGATATCTAAGGAGAAACAAAAATATCACCAAATGGCAGTGGATGGGGAGCTGAAATTGAGCCCTGATTTTTAAACAAATGGGGGGAAATCTTGTGACAGTATTGGGAAGGGTTGTTTAATTTCAGAATATTCCCTACCTTTAGATCCATTCCATCTAAAACTCATCCCAATTGCTAAGTTGGTAAATAAACAGTTGCAAACCACTTGAGTTAATCCTAATTGTTACACTAATTTGCTTTAGTTACCAAAATTAATTTTGCTAAGTGATACTGTTTTAAATAAACATAATTATAACCTCTCTGTGATTTTTTTCCCCTTAATAAGGTACACAGAGCTTCACATTTTGGAAAATTGCAGATTTCTGCCATTTCCAACTTGTAAATTTACTAGTGGGGTAGTAAGTCTTTATTTTCAGATATATAGCAGGTGTGACAAACACAGACTCAAGCATAAGCATCCAAGGAGACCAGAAAGATATACACAGGAAAACAGAAATATTATTTAATCAGTAAAAGTCACTTATCATCATCAGTTTTATTTCCTTTCTTGGAATCCACAAAAGCAATATATCCTAAAGCCTGCAGGATTGGAAGATGAGAACTAACCTCTAATAAATGTCCCATGTGGACTAAAAATGCCACCTTTCATATGGTAAATAAAGGATGCTGTAGCTATCAGACACTGCAGTCATCCTACAATGGTGTACTCTGAAGAAATTCAGGATGAAAAAAACACAGGACACTGGCCCCAGATAACTGAGGTGCACATCAAAGAAATTATTTCAGTGAGCCCAGACTCTTGCATCTTCCCATATACAGAAAAAGTACTAGATTCCCTAACTTGAGATATCACCTTTTCTTTTATTAACACTAATCTTCTGATGTTCCAACTACCTGGTCTTTGTTGCAAAAACTCCTATATTTGTTGGTTCCCCACCTTGCCTCTTCAGATCATTCTCTCAGAGTTATCTGAGATGCTGTGTCCCAGTTTAAGTCCTCAGTTTTGTCCACTGAATAAAACATAACTCTCAACTCTTAGGTTGTGCTTTTTTTTCCCCAGACAACACTAGTCTTTTTAATGGTTAAATGTAAAGAAATTGATGTAACACATATACACAAATACACAGCATATTTTGGGGTAGCAACTCTTGAGAGTACATTATCTAGGATCCTGAACTTCATTTGCAATTAAGCCTTCAGGAAACCAGCCTGCAGGTGGGACGTGGGACCACTACCTGCTCTTCCCAACCTCTATCAGAGGTGACTTCCTCCAAAGTTTCTCACATCAAGCTTCAGCTGGACAGTGAATGAGCAGGGGCTGGGAAATGAGTTTCTCCTGGTGGGGTGAGCTGGCTCCGCTGTCCCCCACAAGGTGTCTGGCTCACTGGAAGCACTGGGTGTGCCCACTCCAAGAGCTGGAGCCACTGGAGGCTTTCTCTCTTGGCCAGGTCAGACCTTTACAGGCTGACCTCAATTTTCCTATCTCAGGCTTAGGAAGTACAGATGTCAGAAACTATCTTTTAGTGACGTCTTTGTCAGTATATGACAACTTTTCTGAACCTCTAGGAATACCTGCTTTAGAGGATGGCTTTCAGGATTAAATGGACTCATGCAGGTGAAAAAACCCAGTCACAATGACAGGTGCTTCAACCACCAAGGTAAGATGATGACTCTGACCCCAGCACGGCCATGGTTCTGCAGTATCATGTTACCTGGGCAAATCCACCAGGCACTAGAGGAGGGTCCACTTGTTAAAATGCAGATTCTGATTCAGGAGTGCTGGGGGAGCTAGAGAATCGGCATTTCCTCCAAGCTGCCAAGTGATGCCCTTTCTGCTATTGCCCAGACAACAATTTGAGAGGCAAGAGGTTGGATTATTATTTAACCAGTCCTGCTTAGGAACATTAAAATCAGATGAACAAATGTTAAAGGCATAGTTTAAATGCTTGTAATTTCTTTGATAGGAAAATGCAACTTTTTAACATAGCCAGATTCAGAAACACTGCAGGTTCGATTTGACCCAAAAAGTGTTGAAAGCAATATTGGAATTTTTTTAGGCTGAAAAGCCTACTCAGAGATGAATAGTATATGACAGCCACCCTTTTGTAACTTTCACCAGATGTGGGAATCTTAAGGTCTTAGAGACCCAGGGTTGACAAATAGTGTAAAATACAAGGAAAACCAAAAAGACAGAGAGAAAAGCCATCTCCCCATACAGTGATTACAAAAACTGAACAGAATGTCATAAATTATCAAAAAACTAAAGTCTTATTCATCAATGAACTGAGTGTAGGAAATATGAGATCAGAAAGTTCAGTAGTTACTGCCTTGCACTAAGAGACATCAAGAGAATGTATGTTTACAGAATATTTCAAAGGGCTTTGGGATAGACTGTTGTAACCAGAGCTGTGATTTCAAATTCACAGCCTCAAAGTATTAAAGTTTTCTCAAGAATCTCCAGATGAAATCCTGATGATGAACTCCTTTCACACACATGCCATGATTCTTCTACCAATGACATGCAGCCACTGCTGGAGTATCCCCAGGAATGTAGAGGGAAGGGGGACTCATGTGAACATGGGGAACCCAATCCATTTTCAGACTGTTCTGTCAAATTGGTTTTTTTTTTTTCATATTATATTGACTCTTTCCTTCCTGGAACATCCAAAATCTGCTACTTATCCTGCCTTACAACCATACAAAGTGAATCTAATTTCTTTTGCTATGACATTCTTCCAGTTCCTTTAAGGAAGTGAATCATATCATTTATAGCATCTACTCCTTCGTGTCTCAATGATCCCTCATAAGGAACAGTGTCCTGTCTTGGCTGCAGCCTCTTGACCAGACTCACATGGGTGGCCTTAGTTAGTGCCTTGTGTCCAGGTGGTACAATAGTAAAGAATCTGCCTGTTGATGCAGGAGATGTAAGAGATGCGGGTTCAATCCCTGAGTCAGGAAGATCCCCTGGAGGAGGAAAGAGCAACCCACTCCAGTATTCTTGCCTGGAAAATTCCATGGACAGAAGAGCCTGTTGGGCTACAGTCCATGGGATCACAAAAGGTTGGACACAACTGAGCAACTGAGCACAACACACAGGAGTAACATGAATACTGAAGATATCAGGGTAAATTTGTATCACCACCTCCCTCATCCTGCACAGGATATAGTCAATCATAAAGCCAACAATTATGATAAATTCTGGAGGCCAGATAACATTTTGGTCACATGTACAATGAAAATCCACATGGCTCTCATGTCCACTACACAGGTAGATTTGAGGAAACAACTGAGCGATATGTGCAAACAACTCTAAGAGCTCATCATTTATGACCCAGAAATACCATCTCTAGGAATGTGTCCCTAGTAGTCAATAAGTGTATCAAAGTGTTGAATGTGATATATTTGTTGAGTCAGAAGTAGAAAAGAACCTGAACAAGTCTGAAACAAGTCTATTATGTATTATGTTCAATTTTAATTTTTTCTGTATGGTCTTATCTTTCTACACTAACTGCGTATTACTTGTGTAAAAGGTAAAGTAGGGAGGGGAGAGCAAGAGAAAGACTGGGGAAAAGAGGGGGAAGGGGAAGAAGGGGGTGAAAGGGAGAAGGAATGAGGGAAAGAGGGATGGAAGGGGGAAGGTAGAGAGGAGGGGGGAGGGAGGAACACCCCCTTAAAGTCCATGGTATCCCAGAACTAATCAGGGTTCTCCTAACTGCTCTGGTTCACTATTTCCTATCTTGTCCACAACACAGAACATCATGAAAGATGACACGAACTTCTCAAAATACAAACCTATTAAATGATCATATCTTAAGAACTGAAGTCATATCTTAAGAACCTCTAGGATTCTGACATGTGACTCATACCCAGGACTCCTCACTTACTGATAGCCAAGCTATAATTTAAAACTTAGAAGTTGCCATGACTAGTCTGGGCCTTTTTGAAAACACAACAAAATAATATGTATAGTTACATACCATAAAATCCTAAACTACATTTTTATTGAGATATAGTTTAAATCTCACAAAATTCATCCAAGTGTATGATGAATTTTAGTAACTTTACTGAGTGATGCAACATCACCAAAAATGTTTTAAGACATTTTTATGCCCGCATCTCAGCCTCAGGTAATCACCAATTTTCTCTCTTTCTCTATAAATTTACCTTTTCAAGACACAACACAAACAACACAATACAATATGTGGTCTGTGGGTCTGGCTTTTTTCATTTAGCATAATGTTTTTGAGGTTCATTCACTATGTAGTGTGTGTCTCTTTTAGCCCCAGTCTTTACCACAGAAGTGATCTTAGGTACCCAGAAAAAAAGACCCCATATCAAGCCACACCTGACCTAGAGGGTAAAGAGTTTTTTGAACTCTACGTCTACTCTACAATATTGTCAACTTTTTAACATGTATCCATGGTTGGCTTCACCAATGGTTCTAGGACCTAATTCTTTTGACAAGAATAGGCCATTGGTTTGGCAGCACTACAATTCAGCTTAGACTAGCCTAAGGACAGGAGCGGGAGGTGTAGAAGTCGTCTGGCAGCTCCACAGTTTCTTCATCTTTGAGGTCATCAATATGGGAGCTGCTCAATGAATGTCATGAAACAGGAGAAGTAACAGGAATTAGGAAACCATCAGTGAAAAAGCCACCAAGTACTGATCCTTCTCTAGCCTTCAGCAGCAAGAGACCTTTAGCAACTCATCCAACCTCCACTGAGAGGCAAATCCCTTACCTGTAAAAAGCAGATGATAACATGCACAGGATAAAACATGAGGATAAAAGAGATTATGCCTATGCAGGCACCTATAGATTATGGAGTA